TTTTTTTTTTTTTTTTTTTTTTTTTTTTTTTTTACTTGGAATACACGACGCATGGAAAAGGGAAAGCATAAAAAAAAAAAAAAAAAAAAAAAAAATAAAAAAAAGAATCACAAAAAATTTAAAGTGTCAGTTTGAGAAAAATTGCCACTTGCTCCTTTTGAAAATGCGTACCTCCACCGTAGGGGCAAGAAATACATCCACAAAGGTATGCGCAGATGTATGCCCCATTGTATACGAAAAAGTGGGCAGGTGCCATGTTACATCGCTGAATTTTCCTCTCATGAAGATCAATATGTTGTCATTTTAAAGCAGTGTTGCCCTTCCTCCATTTTAATTAAACATCACCTCTCAGGAGAAGCATACCACAGTGCACTTCGCCCAAGTGGCCTATTAAATTATCGCAATATAATTCCAGCTGAACATGCCCACTATTTTTTTTTCAACTCCTATTGTGGTTCAAGTGTGCCAACTGGTGGAAGGGAATACATACATTTGTGCGTCGGGTCGAATCAAAATGAAAAACAAATACGTGGGAAAGAAACAACACCCACACATTGTAGCCAGGACAGCCAAATAAAACAAGGCTAAAAATAGCAAAGTGTTAAAAACACAAATGGTTGGTGTCAGTACCACGACATTGCCGCCACCTCCTACAAGCGCACAGAGTAGATCAAACATGTTGTACCATCTTTTTGAGGATAAAAAAAAGGTGAAAAAATGGTACATTACAACAACAGGTAAAGTTCCATCTGTAGATTCACAATGTGTCAAGAAGGCGAATATAAACACCACCAGATTGTATCCCTTTTTGCCACTTTTTGGTTAACTTTTTTAATCCCATTTGAAGGGAAAAAAAAATTCCCTCTAACGTTTATACACATTGGTGTAGCACATGTTGTGGTTTCTCGCCGCGCGGGTAGTGACCGGTCACAAACTGCAACTAGCAATCCAGTTGTCCATAAAATTTGTCATCAAAAAAATGGGAAACTCCTAAGCAATACCAACACACATTCTTACAAATTATTACCACTTGAGTATTCTTATCCTCCTTCATGTTTCCAAATTAATTTCGATTCAAAATTACCTGAACCCTCAGGTGTAATTATTCCCAAAGTTGAAACACCTAGGTAGCTACATAGCTTAAATTTTTTTTTTTTTTTTTTTTTTTTTTTTTTTTTTTTTGTTCATAAAAAAAGTGAAAATTTTAAACGCGGTTATTCTCCCCATTGTACATTTACGAAAACACACACGGACGTCTTTACGCAAAGAAATACATGGTATAATCTGTCGCGCCTTGCAATCGGGAGTAGACTCCTTCCAACAACACATCATACAGGAAGGTTTTAAAAAGTGCACACCTTTGTGCAAATTCTCCTTTTACGGAACCATATATACGGGCTACGCGGAATGCCCTGATCATGTCATGTCCTCAAATTTAAGCCAATTGGGCTGTTGTTCCTCCTCACTGCTCATCTTATTGAGGAGAAAAAAAAAACATCGTTGCGACTTTGGCTTTAGGAGTATGCTTCCCCCATGTACATAAAAACGCGTGCGTGCATAAGTATATTCCAACAGTCACTGTTCTTAAAACGAACGAGTAACAAATTCAAGTGAAGAAAGCTTCTCCACAGTTTACATCCAATTGTGATATCCCTGCAAGTGGGTCCCCCCGCTCTGTGTTATAGCCGCCAAAAGGGAGTCTCCTCAACAGCACACAAACCGCAGAAATTTAAAGAAGCGGGAAGGCCATACACTTTGGCAATTCTACACGCACGTCATCAGCCCAGTGAAATATGGATAGCCATACAAAAAAAAAAAAATAAAATAAAATAAATAAATAAAAATAAAGCAAAACAAATAATAACACAACACAGTATGTCATAATAAACGATGAGCGCACTGCTCGAATTGGCAAACCATTCCACCACAATCATTGCCCCAAACCATTGCATTTCTGGGCCAAGAGAAAACGGAAATGCCGAAAAAAAAAATGTGAAACATAGTATGTGACAAAGGGGAGGCCGACAAGCAATACTTATGCGATAAAGCTGGAACAAGCTAGGTTACACCCGTAACCAACGCTGTTAAAACGTGTGGGCAAGTTTCCACGCACGAGACGAAAAGGTGCTCGTTTCTCAGTCAAGGGGCCCGCGCAATTGTAACTATACATTCAACCAAGCTTGTTGAGCTATCTGTGGACACTAACAGCCCTCTACATTAAAAATTTATTTTGAATTCTGGCACCCCCACTTGGTAGTGAAAGCAGACCCGCCTCACATAGCACCTTCGTTTGGGAAATTCACGCTCAGGGAAAATTCCCAAGCTGAGCAACTATTCCCCTTTATTGCTTACAGCATGGAAGCGCTCTTACAGAAAGGAGAAAAAACTAAAATGAACGAAATATGCAAAAGCTTTCGAAATATGTTTGCCGCAAGGTCACCATCGGCAAAGAAAAGCGTAACTCTCACAGGGTAATCGGCACAACCGTAGGGCTCTCCATAATTCCTACCTCGACAAAATGCATCACGCACACAAAGAGCGGCCCCACCCGAACAGACCGCAAAGCGTATAGCTTGCTCAGAGATTACATGGTGGAAAGAGATCATGAAAGTAGACACAATGGCGCCCTTTACCACCGCAATGAAAATATCGACTTTATCGAGAGTAGTAGTCCAAGGAGGAGGGAAATTTTACACCAGCCAAAAAATGCCATAGACATTGTTCATATGGACCGGGAGATATTCACCTCAGTGAAAATTGTCCTTTCCCTAATTGATAGTATAAATACTCGAGTGGTGCAAAATGGATTAGTGGCCAGTACACAAAGTGACACCCCTTCAAGCAAAGGGATCCTGCAAAACCGAGCAATCATAAATGAGAACGAGTACCTCTTCTGTGTAGAAATGGGAGAAGATAGCACAGCCGGAAGTGCACATATGGGGAGAAATTCCTGTTCAGAGAAATTTCCCCCTTGTGATGATGAAGATCTATCTCATTTGAAAAGAGAAATTCAAGGCGTCGATTTTTTCGCCTTATCTGCTCTATTCCGCATCTACCACAAAATCGTCAGAAAAAAATATGACCCCCATGAAGGTAACCTTTCCAGAGTACCTTTCCCATTTAACAGGGTGGAAAAGTTCATCCTTCAAACATTATGTTCTCACATTGACAGTCTGCTTCAACGAAAGAACAACAAAAAAGGTGACAAACTGGACAACCATCTAGAAGGAAGTCCAAGCAGCAAGGCTCCGTTCCGTGCAATATACTGGGAAATATTAAACATTTTACAAACTCTCACACACAATAAAGGAGAGTACATAGGCGCCATAAATAGAGTGCTATATGCACAGTTTAAATTTGTGGACAAACACAGGCATCACTATAACTATGCCTTCGTGGTTGCTCTCCTTCCTGTAATTAATGAAGTACTCCTATATCAGTCAACTGGGTTAGGGTCTCTTCCAACAGTGGGAGGAGACTTCCGTCACCCTTCTTTCTTTACAACCATAGGGGGGAACCCCCTTCACATGCAGAAGGAGGCTGTTACGTGGGGATACATCGAGGAGAACTACCAAAATGGAGAGGTGTATGCGAAGGGCACCGGCTCCCCAAAGGGTGATGAACAGAGTAATAATATAGACACGACACACAACTGTGGAACGGATCAACGTTCGGCGGAAGAAAAACAGAGCTGTGCAAATATTATTTGTCCCCCCCCGAAGAGCGTCCAAAAAGAGTTTATTAACCCCCCTGCGGATGGCGCGAACTTCTCCTACTTGCAACAGTACAGTATCACCGTGCTCAGCATAATGGCCAAAAAGATAAAGTACATGGAACAGAGGAATCATGTCCATGACTTAGGGCTTATACTCGAGGGTATCAACACCGTGTTGCATGTGAATAGCAGCTTTGGGGGACAGCTCTCCAGCTTGATAAATCCAAGGGCAGAATTCTTAAAGGATGTCATGTCGAAGGATAAGGACCTCCCTACTGGAGTTAGCCAAAAGATGTACCTCCTTCTCTTTCTCGACTTTATATGTATCTTTTTAAAAAATGTAAAATTTGATTCCAAGTCCATCCATAGCATGACAAAAAATGGGGAATCCGTTGGGGACCACTTTCTTAAAATTCTCTGCCTGTCCAGCAGCATTAGGCAAATACTAACTAGTGAGAAAAGGAGTAGTGACAAGGGGAAAATTCCCTACAACCATGACCCCTATGATGTGTGCACCAATGATGTGCCGCTCTATGCAGACCAAGCCTCGAAACTAATCAGTCGGGTAAATAAAAACATTGGTCTGCTGACCAGCGAGGTAATTCTAAATACCCTCAAGTATTGTTCACCCGCCCGTTTGCAAAGGAGTCATCAAGTCAACTCCTACATGGCTTACCTACTCAATGACGTCTACCTGCAGAGTAACAGCGAAGTGAAAAAAATCATTCTTTCGCATTTCATGAAGACGAATGAACCGTCACATTGGGGGAGTCAACCAGGTAAGAGGCAAATATATTTGGAATATATCACCCTCCACAATTTTGTGAAAATCTTCAAAGGGGACATTAACCAAGCGGAAAGCAAGGACCCAGAAAGGGGAAGCGACAAATGTGTTGAGAAGATTTTTCCTTTTTTTCGAACCTTCCTGGAGAATTGCATAAATATGAATGTTATCGAAAATGACGCCACAGAAGATGTTTCGCGTGAACACCAGATGAAGCAAATCTTACATGGGCTAAACAAATTGTGCTACTTCTACGTGCTGTGTAAAAGGCACATCACGAATTCCAATTTCGTGGCACTTGCAAATTGTAACTTCTACTTTGCATTTTCGATAATTAATTTGCACATTGAAAAATGCCTGAACAGGTCAGAACTTTTTTTCCCCCATTTTGTCAACATGTGTGTAGAAAAGATATCCGTCATTGTGGGCACACTGAAATGTTTCGGCCTACCAGCGGAGGAAGACTTGGCCAACTGCCTCTCCAAATTTATCACGCTGACGCATCTGTGCATGAGTGAAGAGAACAAGAAGAGTCTCCTTTTTTATGTGTTGCCCTATGTGGAGGGCGGGAGAAATGACGTTGGCAAGTTGAGAAGCCTTTTAGTGTGTACCGAAGTTCCTTCACTCGGTGCAGCAGAGGCGAAGGATGAGTGTACGGCCGCTGGGGAAAGCACAAGTATATGTGAAGATGCACAGCGGACAAGTAACGCTTACTGTGAAAAAAAAAAGTCTGATGAGACCCACTCTGAAAAAAACCCATCTGGTGACAACCTCCTACGCACCCATCAAAACGTGCAGCACATGGAAAAACGCATCGCAGACGTATTAGCCACATTCGAGGAAAAAAAAATTTTTCCCATCGATAGTAAGCAAATGTATGAACTGCTACAGGAACTGCGACACGAGCATGTGAGGGGGGGCCTCCTACTTAGGAAGGAGAACCAGATTTTGAGAAACAAATTAAATTATATCTTGCTCAATTTTGACTCGTTCATTAAGGCACATATTACCCAAGTAGTTGCAGAGCAGGAATGGGTTTTTGCCCACCATGATGAGGGGGAATTAGCTGAGATGGGCAAAGGTGGCCAGCGTGTTGAACTCCCTCCTGCTGTTCAAAGGCCTAGAGAAGATACCGCAGAGGGAGACAACTCCATTGGGGAGGTAGTACTCGCAAAAGATGTTCACGAGACACCTGCGGGAGAAGATCAAACAGATGAACAACCCAAACTAGGACTCTACTTCGACTATGGACACGTCAGTGCCAAAAATGAATATTTCCGACAGCTACAAAAGTACGAACGTGAAGATTACCAAAAAATTAACAACGTTCTTATAAACACGTACCTTTGTAATCCGTACGTATGCTCCAAGAGCAAAGAGGTTGTTTTGTCCAGTGGTAAATCTCCTAAGAAGATAATTATTTTGCCACAGGACACGTATCGAAATATACACAAGTTGGTCGTCGCTGGGAAGAGCGGCGAGGGGTTGAAACTGCTGAGGCGTGTCCACAATTCGGTGAACCTATTCTTTATCCGGGTGAAGTTTTTTTTCAGCAGATTAAGTTAATGAGACGCATACCTGTGTGGTGCCTCTTCCGCTCCACACCCTACTTCCGCTTCCCTTGTTTTGTGAACTGCCCAGTGGACGCATATATATGCAAAAGTTTATTAACCCCTCATACGTATGTGTCATATTTATATATGTTTTTACCCGCGCGTTGTTTCCTTTCCCTTTTTTTTTTTTTTTTTTTTCGTTCCTTTGCAAAAACTCTTCAGACAGAACAGCCAAAAATGGTAAGCATATTTGTTTTGTTCTCGTAGGTGAGGGGGCACATGCTACCCATATGCGCAATTATACAAGCGAAAATATTCGCATAAGTACATCCTTTTATATGTACGCTCTACTACAGCTCGAACTTAAAAATACCTTGATGGGGGAAAAAAAACAAAAAACGCTAGCCACGGAAAAGGCCGCTTTCCCCCCTTATGCTATAAAAAGTGCCCATATTTTCCCACTTCCTATATTCCTACCGTTTTGCGCGAAGGCTATATTTTGTGATTCACAAATGAGAGCAAAATTCATTTCGGGACAAATATTCATAACGATTTTCACAAAATGCCAAGTTAATTTTTCGCTTCATTTGCATACAGTTTTGTCCCTCCAATTTGGGGCCATTTTGTAGCGTTCCGAGTGCTTGGGCGGATAGGCGCCACTTTGATCCCCATGGGGGAAAGGCAACCGACCCTTGGCGCAAAGGGCCCAAGGCAAAACTGAATAGGCCGCAAAGTGCTACATTGCCTTTAATTGCCGAGTGCCTACACGTGCATAACGTTATTAGATATTGCCGTAGAATATTTTTATGCTATAGGTCGTGTGAAGTCAAATAATTGTTCACAATTTAACTGGGCATATGTCAGAAACCATATTGCTGTCGCCCCTAATATATCTCCTTCCTTTTTTAAACTTTTTTGAAAGTTTTTTCCGCATTTTGCGCTCCGCGTTTGACCAAGGGAAAAAAATTGCAGCGCCGGTACATTTTGCAACTCCCCAAAAAATTTGCAGCAGTAAGTTAATTCAACCCAGTAATATATTTTCCCCACCTTTCTTTTTTTTTTTTTTTTTTTTTTTTTTTTTTTTTTTTTTTTTTTTTTTTTTTTTTTTTTTTTTTTTATTTACCATTTCGCCAACTGTCGCGAATTTAATTCACAGTCACAACGTGCAGCATTGTGTTATTCTCACATTGTCACGCAGTTACTAAGTTACTCAATTACTCAGTCACGCAGTCACATAGCTACATAGCTGCTTATTTCCTATTTACATTTTTACGTGGCTTAAACTATCTGAACAAAATGGTGAACGTCCCCAAAACGAGGAAAACCTACTGCAGCAACAAATGCAAGAAGCATACCATGCACAAGGTCAGTCAGTACAAAAAGGGAAAGGAACGATTGTCGGCCTTGGGAAGAAGAAGATACGACATGAAACAGAAGGGATTCGGAGGCCAAACCAAGCCCGTTTTTAAGAAAAAGGCCAAAACTACCAAAAAGATTGTTCTCAAATTGGTAAGCACTGGAGAGTGAAGCGTCAGTCGCGTAGCCTTTACCCCCACAGGATTATGTGATCGATGCGTGCGTGATTATCCACTGCACTCGCCCACACCAGTGTCCTCGTACCCATGCGACCACGGGGCTATATACCAATGCGTTTATTTTATTTATTTATTTTTTTTTCCTCCCCCCTGTAGGAATGCACAAAATGCAAGAAGAAACGATTTCAAACCCTGAAGAGGTGCAAAACGTTTGAGATGGGAGCCGATAAGAAGAAAAAGGGAGCCGTTTATTAAATGCTCCACCCCATCCCTGTACATTGCTGTCTCCTCAAAAGGAGAAAACCCCTTTTTCATTGTTGCTACAAATCAAATCGCCCTGTTCGGGAATTTCATTCATTTCGTGATGGTGCATATCGCGTGTTTGGTCCATACGGATGTTCAGTTGTAAAGCTGAATAGGTCCGCTTACATGCTCACTCAGGGAGGGGCTAAAGTATATGCCCATGCGAGTATGCGCATATATGCACTACTTATATATATGTACATATTTGCACTTTGCTACATGTGTGCTCGTGCCCCCTGCATGCGCGGAGTGATGATTATTACGGAACATTTTTCGAAAAACTCTTTTGAAATGTAAGAAACGAACTGCTAATTTTATCAGTGTTTTACGAAGGGTGGCAGATACTAAACAAGTATTCGCCCCGTTCTCGCCACAGTCGCACCGCATGCACATGCGGCCTGGGCGTGCCCATTACAAAACGATGCGCACATCTCCCAGTGTTACCCACAAAAAAAAAAAAAAAACAACGCTGTTCCTGTGTGTAATGCCATTTACGCGGCAACCAGGAGAAGCTGGGCAAGTCTGAAACGCCTTACTTCACCAGCTCTTGTAACTCTCCACTGGAGTACAAATCTGAGATGATGTCGTAACCACCGATGAAATTGTTATTTACGTATAAGTGTGGGATGTAGGGCCAATTGCTGTAAATCTTTATGGCCTCGCGCAAGTTGTTGTTCTTCATTACGTCGATGTATACGTAGTCCTTTACGTTCATATTATTTAGTATCTGGACAACCTGCACAAGGGGAAAAAAAAAAAAAAAAGTTAGCCACTCTGCACGAAATGGGCATATTAAAATGTGCTTCTCCTGGGTGTAAATTAGTTCAAAAAAAAAAACAATGTAAGTTTCTCAAACGTGGGGAAAACTGGGCCCAAATGGACAAAACTACCACACGGCAGACATATTAATCTCACCTTTGCGCTAAACCCGCACAGGGGACTTTCCGGGGTTCCTTTCATAAACAGCACAATTTTCTCCTTCTTAACGATTTCCTTAATTTTTCCCTTCAGAGTCTACGATGGGTGAGCAAAAAAGGTTGAAAACAGACAGCAGTCCTTTAGCATAGAGGCACACTGCTGGACATCAATAAAATGTGCTCACATAAGAAAGGATGCATTATTTTTAAAAATGCAAAATTCACCATCTCATTTCCCTCCCTGCTTTAACCTGGTACACGTCCGATTTTTCAAAGTCTTTAAAGTCGTCCGAGCTGTTGTTTATCTTATTCTCGGGTCCTCCATTTTGCTTATCTTGAATGGAAGTACTGAAGTTTGCTTTTGAAAACTGATTGCAAGAAAAGAACGTTACGTTTCTCCTCACTATGTGTCGATTCATGCGAAGGAGGATCCTACAACTCCTTACTATCATTGTCAAAAAAAAAAAAAAAAATAAATAAGAGATAAGTTTACACAGGTCAAGTGTTTTTGCATAGAACTAGGTACAAAACAGCTAATTTAAATTATATTTAAAAAAAAAAAAAAAAAAAAAAAGTGAACAGAAAAAAAGGTTTGATAAAAATAAAAAAACCACCTTCCTTTTTTTTTTTTTTTTTTTTTTTTTTTTTTTTTTTTTTTCTTTTTTTTTTTTTTTTTTTTTCCCCTTTCCCCCAACTGCAGAACTGGAACAGTTACAATAGCACAGCGAAATAGCATACATCCCCACGGTGCCACAATTAGATGATACCTTATTTTGCTCCTATGAAACTGCTCACCATTTTGTTGTTTCTAAAATTTAAGCAGGGTTCTATTCCACGTTGCGTAGCATGCGCATGTTCAGTTTGTGTGCACAGTTTATAGCCCCTGAACAAGTCATGCAAATTGGTGAGAAAAAAAAAAAAAAAAACTTTGTGCATTAATACACAGCAGTTAATTTGCCCCCATTTTGGCTAACTGGTTGATTTCCCTTGAGGAAAAATATGTGACATTTCACTTGTATATGGCAACTGTTCAATTAAGGCAAAAATATGCAACAAGGGACATATGCCTGTGTTTCCACGTCATCACCGCTACTGCGTAACATTTAATCAACATCACTAGAACAAGCACAAAGACACAAACGCCGTTGCGCTATGCACCTGGTTAGCGTTTCCTTTCCCTAAGCTTCGCACAAAACCTGGGTGCAGTTTACACCCACCTTGAGCTTGTTTAAAGCTACATATTTTTCGCTAACACAAACTGTAAGAAAGCTATTAAAGTGTTTTACGCGCACATGTATGCCTTTATACACAAGAACGAATTAGTGGCTGTGTCATAAGGGACAAAATTGCCGCCATTGGAATTATTACATGCCCACATTTTGCTCTGACTCCGGCTTGTGCCCAAAGAATAGACGCGCGCCTCGTTTGCCACGCCGCAAAACTTAACTCGCCTTTTCTGCGTTTGCAAATTTTTGAATTTCCCAAGTAAATATACCAGTTCTCTTTTTAACTTGTTAAAAAAAAAAAAAAAATACATTCTCAAAATTTAAGTTCTCTACGTTAAGCAGTATACATAACACATACGACAAAAAAAAAAAAATGGAAGAAAAAATATACGTCAAAAAAGGGTCAGTCAAAAAGGAAAAATTAATATAAATGTTTTTCTGTTTTTTTTTTTTTTTTTTTTTGCTTTTTTTTGTCACGATAAGTGTTTAAAAATACTCATATCGTGTTTTCTAGAAATGCACAACTGATTGTGCGTAAGGACATAATGCGTAAAGTGTGTTACTTATTACGCTTTACACACACGTGCATACAGTTACATGTAAGCAGCAGAAAATATTCATAAGAGGGAGGAAAAAATCATGTCCCTACGGGCAAGTATTTTTGTGCATGTACAAAACACAAAACACTTAATATGCACCGTGGAGGACGCCGAAAAAAAATGGATGCCAACTACTTAATTGAATAATGCTAGGACTAACAATATGATTAGCCCTAATGAATTACTCACAACGTTAAATATGCCTGCGCACTTATCCATTGTACAAGCTTCCATCTCAAGGTCACTCAGAGTAAGTTCCTCTGGTTTTTTCTTATCTGCATCAGCTTTTCTTCTAATTCTTACACCAGTTCCACAGGTTACACTGCATGGAGTCCATTCTGTACCAACGCTAGATCTAATTTTCTCTAGGTACTCTTTCACAAGCTTTTCATTTACTTTATTAGCACCTTCATTATTTTGTCCCTGTCCTTTTCCTGCTCCTGCGTTTCCTCCTGCATTCCCACCTGCGTCTCCTTCTTTTTTATTTCCTGCATTTCCACCTGCGTCTCCTTCTTTTTTATTTCCCGCATTTCCTCCTGCTGGTTGTGCACCTCCCCCATTTTCTTGTCGTTGTGGTTCATTTGCCGGATTTTGACCTGCTGCTGGACCTGCTGGTCTATCTGCATCTCCACCTGCTGGTCTATCTGCATCTCCACCTGCTGGTCTAT